TGGGTTTGGGGAACCAAACTCAGGTCCTCTGTAAAACCAGTATGTACTCTGTAACTGCTGAGTCTTCTCTCCAGCCCCCATCATCCCATTTTAAAGCTGAGAAAATCGAGGCCCAGAGAAAGATAGAGACTAGTTACAGAGCTGCCACTCTTAGAACCAGGCCTATGGCTCCCATATTCCAGGTCCTGAGTGCTTCATGGATATGGTTCCATTCAACTTTGTGGCAACCCTGGCAAGAGAGAGGCTATTACTAATCCCACTGTAATCTAGGTAAATTGAGCCAGAGAAGAAGCAGTTTGCTTACAGTTACATGGCTAACTAGCAGACAGCCTAGTTCTAGAGCCCTGGTCCAGAGAGCCACTTTATAGCACCGCTTCCTGTAGAGGCTAGGTGGCTGGCCCAACATCTGGGGACGCAGGCAGACTCATTTGCTAAAAGACCAGCATCTGCAGGACTCCTTGGCCACAGCCACCGTGGGGCAAGGCAGGACACAGCTCCTCAAGGAGATGGGTGAAGAGCCCAGGCTTGCAAGCCCAGTCTGCCCAAGACCATTAGCCCCTTGTGAGAAGAAGCTTACCCAACAAAATGCAGACTAGCTAAGAACACATCCTGCTTCATGTAAGTCTTGTAGGCTATGCACATCTTGGGAGATGTGTGGATGAAAGGCATCACATAAAATGCAATCAATTATGAATCACCATTACTGAATTAATCACATGTATGATTAATACGATAATAATAATTAATGGGAGTATGATCTAGAGATTAGAGCTGGGAACTGGCAGGGAGGAGCCCAGAGCTGCAGTTTCTGCCACTGCCTGGAGACATCACCTTGGGGAACACCCTGGGAATGGGTCTTGCTCTCCCTCCCTTTCACCCACCTTGGCTGAAGAAGCAGAGGACCCTGGGATGTCTCAAAACCCCTAGATGGTCCTGGGCTGAGTCACAGGTACTTACCCTGATTTACAGCTACATCTCAATTGCTCAAGGTCAAAGGGACAAAGAGTTTCTTGAAGAATCCAAATCTTGGTCTGATATAGAAGACAGTGACAGAGGCCTAGTCGGGAACAGGTCAGGGGCGGATTCTGAGCTCACACTTGACTTCCAACAGTGGTATAAGCTGGTTCGATTTGCCCCTCCTTCTGTCTGTCTGCATTACGATTTGCTTTTCTCAGAAACCCCCAGAGGGCCGGACCTCATCTGTCACCTCTTGTTGCAAAGCTATGAGGTTATTTTCACATGTGACTTTATAATTTCCTGCTGTTCCTTGATCCCAATTTCCTTGTT